TGATGATGATGATGATGATGATGATGATGGTGATGACGACGATGATGATGGTGATGGGGATGAGGATGATGATGATGATGATGATGATGATGATGATGATGATGAGGATGAGGATGAGGACGAGGATGAGGATGAGGATGAGGATGAGGATGATGAGGAGGAGGAGGAGGGTGAGGGTGAGGGTGAAGATAAGGATGAGGATGATGAGGAGGAGGAGGATGAGGAGGATGAGGAGGATGAGGAGGATGAGGAGGAGGAAAATCATGATGATCATTGCAGCTTGCAAGTTGCTGATGATGATTTTAGAGTTGATGGTCAACATACCGAACATGACGTCCTGAAGATGAAGGGGAGGACCCTTTACCTGCAGGAAACCAATGGACCAGGGAGAACAGGGGGATTGAACCCGGGCCTGCAAGGGGGCGGGGTCTAACTGGAAAGTTTCAGGTTTCCAGCGGTCCTGGTGCCTGCCTGTTCCTTGCTAAAGCAAGAGCAACTTCAGCTAGCACAAGCTTTCGTAACATGATCCTTCACATTTAGCTCCAAGTTCTAGCAGGTGTCCGCAGGTGTCCGCAAGTGTCTGCCACGGCACTTTGCGAAATTGCGACTTCAAGTTCTGTAGCGCCGCATTGAAGTGGGACACCACCTCTTGGATGACACGTTCGAGACTTGGCCGCTGCTTTTGCAAGGCCTCCTGCATCACCTGGCTCCACTTCTCCTCGAAGACACGCTCGACGTTCTGCACGTTGATGTGAGAACCTGCGTAGCGACGTGGCGACAATTGCTTCAAAGATGTTCAGAGCAAGTTGAGCAAGTCATTTGAAGACCAATAGAAAGTGCCCTTGTTTCTGATTATTTTCAGATGCAGAAAAGACAGAAAAGACCAGGATCCCTTGCACGCTTGCTGCTTGATTTGTTTCTTGAACTCAACTATCTTCCAACTTTCCCGTGGCAAACACTTGAAACCAGAACTTCACCCCAAACCAACGGTCCACACCGTACACACCCTCCACACCGTCCACACCGTTGCGGTCCACCCACTGTGCAACCTTGTTCAAGGAGGAGGTCGTTGACTTTGGCTGAGATCTCTTCAAAGAGGTGATCCATGGAATTCCTTGCCCGTTGATGCCCGTTGCACTGTCGAAGTTGTTTCGGTTGACATGTCAATCATGTCAAAGAAATTGCAGAAAGAACGTAACTAGCTAATCCATGAATTCTCAGTAGGACTCACAGCCCGAAAGTTTGCAGTTCAACCCAAGAGTTGCAGTCGGGGTTGAGATAAGAACATCTGCCTGTGTGTTTTACTTCTTTTCCAATGGGATTACCATCTCTATCTGAGATTCTGCTCCAGCACCAAATGCACAGCAGATCGCCATAGGCTGTCCACTGAAGCATACTTCCGTCTCATTGGACCCATCAATGAAAAGCGCTTGTCGCTCTTGACCTGCTCATCCTGGTGACCAAGGGACCAAGGCAAACAAAAGAAGCGAGCTGCCAAAAAGTGGTGTAAAGAAGTGATCAAAAAAAACATCTCAACATGCTGTTCTCTTCTCCAACTTCTCTTCAATCTGACCAATTTCATGATTCTATAATTCTATATGATTCTGTATCAATCCCAGTTGCTGTGAACTTGCTGTCGTGAGATCGAACGAATTCGTCAAAGTCGTGCTGCATCTCTTGAAGCACAGCATCTCGCAGCGCATCCAATTGGCCGCGGAAGGCATTGTCGATGGCGTGGACTTCACTGGTGGCAGTGGCAGAGCGCAGCTCCTGTCAGTTGTCCGCTGTGATGTTTTGAAAGTTTTGGCCCATGTTGGCCCATTTTGGCTGTTTGGGATTGTTTTGCTATGTCATTTTCGTAATTTGGATGTGTTCAAAAAACTGTGTAGAGATGTGTAGATGACATCTGCATCTTTGAAGTCAGAGGTGCACCTTGGTGTAGCGGTGAATCAGATGCTCGCTTTCCTGATGCATTTTGCCATCCACGTGTTTCTGCACCAAGGCATCGCAGAATTCTTGCAGCTGTTGGGCCATCAGCACTTGCCTGGACAAGCGGCAACGTTAAACCGGCAACAAAAGCTGGTATAAACGTTAAACAACTTCAGTCAATGGGAAAATATAGCCGGTGGATGCCATTGGCTTGTGAAAGTGACAGCAATTCCGCTGGAGTAGGACTCTTCGGCATCGCTGCTACAAAGGTTGTTCATTTGCGGAAAGAATTCTAACCAATAGACATTACGAGTACCAATAAACATACGCTAGTTCAGCACAGCTTGTGTTGATTGCTCCTGCTTAAGGCCCAATACTTGCACCCTTGAGAGAAGCTAGTTTGGCGGCTACCTGGATTACTTCGTTCAGTATCACGAATGCCATGTTTTCAACACAGATTTCCCCATGAGAACCCTACCCTCATCCACAAGAATAGCACTCGCCCAATGCTTCCCTGGTTGTTACATACACAAATAGTTTTTCCATGCTTTTCCCATACGAGCCCGCGCGCCTCATGGTACGGAATTGAAGCAAGTCAGTTCCACACATGGAGAGCGTCTGCCAAACAGTTCGTGCATGGTCGTACCACTGCGACAAAGATGCGAAGACGGAGGACCCAGAAGACCCAGTACTCGGGATATCAGCACCGTCGGCTGTTTCCGCGAATCGCTGTTTCTGAGATGCTTTCGCCCTGCTTCGTGACAAAATGATGGAAGCAAAAAGAATCAAAAGATGGATCTGGTACGTATTCGGTGCCATATCCATTGATACTTCGAAATATTTCGAAACCAGGATGGGAATCCTATGGATCCTGGCCAAGAAAAGGCGCGCCTGGCTATCCATTGGAAGACCTTCTCCCGAAGTTGCAGAGCTTTCAGCGCGTAGAGATTTGTTGGTCGTGACACTTGGAGCCCAAACTGCACATCGTCATTGAAGGCACTTGGCATCACGAAGATGCTTTCGGAGTCTAGGAAGACCAAGTCCTCAAAAACGATCCCATTAGATCAGTATTAGATTTCTTAGCTCAAACATATCGAAGTGAGATCTTTGACAAAGGCACCGAAGCACGAACGCTTCAACAAAAATGGGAAATGCATATTCATATATGATATTCATATGAAGACTGATGTTAAATGGTGAGGTTTTAGGAGCCTGTCCTGCAACTTGAAGCTGTGGGGCTTCTCCTTCTGCTGCAGTTCTTGCACAGAGTCCTCTAGGGATCGCTTCACCGTTGCCACCCATTCGTACTGCTGCTGCTGATTCACCATGCTTAAGCACTGCAGCACGAAGCCAATGGCGGGGCTGATCCGGGCCAACTTCAAGTGGTACAGTGCAAAGAGACACACCTGGAAGAGATCTCCAACGTGCCTCAGCTGCCGACCTAAACAAAAACAGCAAGCATCAGCAAGCTTAATCAGCTTCATCGGCACCTGGTAACCTTCAACACCAACCGAGTCCTCTTCCGAGTCACCTGCCCAGCTCCCCGCGATTGTTCACAATCACCAAATCGGAGCACGCCATGGTCATCAGCGCCACCTGTTTGTCAAAGACGTCATCGCGAGCCTCCACAGACAGAAGACCTTCGGTATCTAAGATCACCAGCAATGCATGGCGCGTTTCCAGGAGAGAGATGTAGAGGCCCTGCAAGCAAAATGTCCACCACAATTCATCACAACACAACGCATGACATGCTGAGTTGGTCGACAGCATCTTGTCCTATCCATCTTATCTTGTCCGTATGGAACTGAAAGGTCTTTGTCATCATCCTTTAGATTTTTTTGGAAGGTTTAAATGCAAGAGTAGTGTGATTAACTAGATGGACTCCTTGATTGGTTGTCCTTGAAATCACCAAAACAAATTCACAGGATAAACTCGGATAAGCATTGGAGAAGCTCAGATCAACCAATCATCAACCACAGCTCGTTTTCAGCTCGTTTTCAGCTCTCCTTGGTGCAACGGCCCACATGGGTGGCGAAGGAACAACCGAAGAGGTAGTTCATCAACGTGCTCTTGCCGCTGCTCTGCACTCCAATCACCGAGATCACCAGCAAGGGCCGGCGTCGCACCTAAGAAAGTTCCGAGAAAGTTCCGAAAGAATTCTGAAAGAATTCTGAAAGTTCTTGTGACAGCTTCTGACAGCTTATGACTATGAAGAAATGTAAATGAAATGTAAACATTTGATGACTGTGTTCAACTTGTTTGATTCTTGTCCATTCAAAGCATGACTCAGCTTATAAGATTCTGAAGAGTCGAAAGCTTGCAACACTTATCGCAAGGACTTCAGACTTGTGTTGGGGATTGAAACATCTTGAAATCGGAAAATACAAACTCCACCCGGACACATCCACTCCGAGATCACGATCCAGCTCCCGCAAGACGTCACCAATGAAGTCCGAACCGAAGAAGGACGCTCCACTGAGCTGCGGATGCCACCTGACAGTCTGCGACACAGTCTGCGTAGTCTGTGTCACAGTCTGCGACTTATTACATAGTTATCATATAATTATCATATAAATTCATATAAGATCATTAAGTACCCCTTTGATACAACGTTTCAGTACTGGCCAGTGCCTCGATTCAGTAAATTTATTTAATGTAGAAATGAGTTACCCCGTTGATGGAATGTTTCTTTGAGTGACAAGACTATGAGCTTTGATTTTTCACTGTCGCTTTCAGCCGTTTGCCTCAAAGGTTCAAAGGCTCCAAACTGCAACGGTGCGGAGTGGAGAAAGTGAAGTGGATTCCCACTCCTCAACAGGACACCCCGAACCCAGGGAAAGTCATATGAAGAACTCGCGAATCAAAACATCTATGAGAACACAGCAAAACATAGAGAAACTACACACTGAGTTTCCTGAAACACTGAGATCCACTGTGTCCACTTGATTTGTTCCAGAAAGCTACAAGCCACGATGTTTGCATGAACGATCCTGCATGGACGAAAGCAAGTTGGTGAGACAATCAAAACATCAACAGAGTGCCCTGGTTCAGTTGAGAGCCGAATGTGTCCTATCAGACATTTTCATCAGCCGAGATGCTTCACCCAGTTCAGATAGCAGGCTTTCGCCGCAGTGAAAGTAAGACGATCGTCAATCTCCTTTAAACCCAAGCGAACTCCGGTGCGTTCCAATTCATGCCACAGCATCAGCTCCAGCCAGAAGGAGTCTGTTGACACATCGACCTGGCAATATTCGGTGTTCTAGTTGTAAATACGCAACGTGTGGTATATAATGTGTACATATATACATACATCGAGTATGTATATATATATATATTGTGATTTTCCTGATAAACCTTGAGGTAACCACTTACATGTCTTGGAAGGGCCATTCAACGAGTTGAATCCATGTGGATAACCTTGACTTTGCATCGACTGTCCGATGCTTTACCAGTGGCTCAGGGCAGCCATCAGGAAAGGGCTGAGGGCTTAGGTGGCCCCATCTTAGGTGACTTCACGTGCTCGTGGCCGAGCCATAGCGGAAAACAGATTGAGCTTGGGAGCTTATCGTTGTGGACCAGGGAGTTCAATCAAAGGGATTTGCTTGTTGCAATTATCTTGCTACCAGTGTGGGTGAAACCACATTGGTAGCGGAGCTACCACCAACCAGCTCCGTGCCAAGCTTCTTTGCCCAGGGGGCCCATTTGCGAAGGTACTGTTAGCTGTAAGTTGGAGATCCAGGATGCCTGATTCAGAACCAGGCAGTGGCATGGCCTCCGGGGAGACAGTTTCCACCACTAGCTCCTTGTCGCATTTGCCATGGAACATGATTCCTCAATTTGATCCCGGAGTCACCGAGATCAATGAATATACCAAGAAGGTTGAATTCCTCTCAAGTTTGTGGCCTGAAGAACATTTGCATCTGTTGGCCCCTCGTGTCGCGATGAATTGCAAAGGAAGTGCTTTTCAGCGGGTCATGCGGATCCCTCCAGAGAAACTGAAGGCCTCAGGTGTTCAAGGTGTCAAAGCTGTAATAGCTGCTCTCGGTGGAGTTTGGGGAAAGGCTCAACATGAGAACAAGTTTGAGAAATTTGAGCGTGCCATCTTTTCCACTCAACAGAAGCCTGACGAGACTCACGAGAGTTACCTTGCCCGCCACGATCACCATTTTGAAGAGATGCTGAGCATGGGAACCAAACTGGAAGAAGTTCGGTCTTACTGTTTGCTGAGAAACTCAGGGTTGACTCAAGAGGACAAGAAACGCATTATCATTGACAGTCAGGGTCAGCTGGAACACGACAAAGTTCTCTCAGCCATGAAACTGTTAGGATCTCGATTCTTTCAGGAAGTTCAGGGAACCGTGAAGAACACTCAGCGTAGCAAAACCTATGACATCAACACAGTCATGGACGAAGAACCTAGCATAGCTTCCATGGAGGACGACCAGATCTTCGTGGGAGAGGCCTGGGATGACAGTGACTATTTTGATGAGAATGATCCGGATGCAGTCATTTGTTTTCAGTTTGAAGAGAGCTTGGTGGAAGCTCTCCAAACCGATGGAGAAATTGCTGCATGTTACAACACCTATTTAGATGCCAGAAAGAGATTGACAGACAGAAACAAAAATCGTGGTTTTTGGAGCAGTGGAAGTAGCAAAGGTTCCTCTTCGTTCAAGGGCCGTGGAAAGTCCAAGAGTAAGTTCAGCGGCCGCATGAGGAAACCCTTGGCTCAAAGAATCCTTGAGTCAGAGTGCAGAAGGTGTGGACAACGAGGTCATTGGAAGGCTGAATGTCCGTTAGCCAAGACTGCCAGCACTAATGCCACGATGACTACCACCAAAGAGCCTGCAGCTTTTGCTGGTACCACCATGACCATGACCTCCTCCGATGCCGATGAAGACATGATCTTACTGAGTTCAATACCGGAGGTGCCTCACTGCCGAAAGATTTTTTTTCCTCACCCCGAAGTAGCAGATGTTTTTATGTGTCATGAACATAACTCATCTCAGAAGTCGGATCTGCCAATTCATGTGCTAAGTAAACCACTCATGTCCAGGTTCCTGCAATCGATGAAAGCCAGACTGAGCCCTCAGCCCATGAAACCTAAGATTCCGATGAGTGTGACTCGTGACGAGTCCCATGCCGAGTGTATGTTCGTGAGTCATGGTCCTTTCGGAATAGTTGATCTTGGAGCTAGTCAGACTGTGATAGGTAGTCATCAAGTCCAAGAACTCCTCAACCATTTTCCCGTGAAGATTCGCAAAGCTGTCCGAAAGGTGCCATGTAGAACAGTTTTCAGGTTCGGCAACAGTAGCACAGTGCAGAGCGACCATGCCATCCTTGTGCCATTGAAGCAGTGGTATGTCCGAATTTGTGTAGTGCCTTCACAGACACCATTTCTGATATCCAATAATGTCTTCCGCACTTTGGGTGCCAAGATTGACACTGCTCATGACACAGTAGAGTTTTCACGCCTCGGATTTCAGATGCCTTTGGAACTGTCTGAAAAACGACTGTATCTGTTGGATTTCTGCGCTTTAGTCAGGCAGAGTGCAGACACCATTCATGAATCACTGGAAGAACGTCCAATCATGCATGCAGCCAGCCAAGAAATTGATGCCTCACCATGTCCAGGTGGTGATCAGCAGTGCCAGTCCGATAGGTTTTTGAACTCAAGCCCGGTGGACCCTTGCTCAACGCCTGTGTCTCATCATGTCGATGTCCAAGAGCAGTGCAAGCAGCCTTGCCGATCGCTTGCAAGCAGTGACACACCACCGTGTCACCGACGATTTCATGAAGATGTCGTACGACCAGATGTCGCAACTTCGGATCACCTTCGGAGAGACAAAGTTGAACCAGAAGTATATCGAAGTTCTGGAGACCGATCCGAAGTACGCCCAATGGTTTGCCAGGAAGTATGCCGGAAGTCAGAAACCGAGCCACCAGTCTTTCCTGTACTTCATGAATCTCTATGTGGAGCATCTGGAATCAAACCAAGAGAAGTTTCCAGAAGCACGATCCAAGAGCAAAGCCAAGAAACCAGAGACAGTCCCATCCGAAGTGGGCAGTCATGCCAGTTGGTCGGATGCCGAGCTGGAACCCTCTTGGGGTGTGATGCGAGAAGAAACCTCGGCCCAGCTGCACGAGGAGATCGGAGTGCAGAACCAGCGCATCACGAACATGGAGAACACACTGACGCAGATTGTGCAGCAGCTTCAGGCATTGACCCAAGCCAGCCTGAAGTAGAGATCCGGCAGACTGATCCTCAGAGTCCTCTGAGCAAGACCCATGAAGATCTCAGATCATACATGTGCGATGAAATAGGCATGCATCAGGTACTCAAACATCCCGAAAATGTGTTGGATCCGACCTATTTCATCAGCAACTTATCCAATGAGATACCTTTTGATAACTGGGTTTACGATGAAATGTGGGAGTATTTTCGTAAGAGTCACCCCACCCTGAATGCCGATGATGTTCATCGACACCTTCGAAAATCCAGAATTCAGGTCTTGGAAGTGTACTGCTCAGAGCAAAGTCAGTTGACCCACCAAGGATCTCAGCTGGGCTTGGTCACTGCACGTTTTGGGTTGCGCCAAGGCGATTTGTCCACCTTCAAGGGTAGATGTGCTTTATATGAAATGATTTGGACTCTTAGGCCCCAACATATATGGGTTTCCCCAAAATGCGGACCGTGGAGCTCTTGGAATCGTTTGAATGCCCAGAAATCCTTGAAGCTTGCCGAACAAATCCGGTTGGACCGGATTGCCGAGAATGTGCATTTGCTCGTGTGTGACGCCTTGTTCCGACTGCAAGACTGGAGAAGCGACTGTTGTCATTCCACTTAGAACAGCCTCAAGGGTCCGAAATGTTGTGGCAGAAGGAAATGAGCAACATTATCCAACACACTTTCCGAGTTTCATGTGACATGTGTGTCGCAGGTCAATTGCGTCACCCAAACAGCCAGGAGCTTCTCCATAAACGTACTCAAGTGTTGACTACTTCTAGAATCATGTGGAGAATGCTTCAAAGATGCCAGTGTGTAGGAGCACATCACCATGATGTCATTGCAGGATCGTGTAAGCCTCACAAAATGCACAGAATGCCGTTGACCCAGTACACTGAACTGTACACAGCCATGTTTGGTCGCCGACTCAGCCGAGCCATCCAGTGCAGTCTCAATGTTTCCGAAACCGCAGTGGGATCCCGGAGTGAATTCCTTCTGACCACAAGTTTGGAAGATGATGGTCACTCACCGGAACCCAAGCGTCGTCGCCTAAACGGCAAAAGCAGCCCTGAACAGAATACAGTAGAAACTGCCGAGATGACTCCTGCAGAGCCAATTCCAGAACCCACTCATCGAGAAAGATTGATTCATTTACTCCACATGGCCGAACAATGCACTCCCAGGGTTGGTAAGATTCTTTTGACCGATGGTCCTTTGTTTCAGGCAATCCAGGAGACGTTTCCGGAAAAACATCTTGTTGCCATTGACATTTGCCGAGGTATCAATCGTCTTCGAACTTGCAACATTGGTCCTAAAGGTACCACCCCATATCGCCGAGCGTTTGGGAAACGTAGGGCTGATTTAGAAGTGTTTGAAGACTCTGAGTGGGAAGCCTGGGAGGTTCTCTCAGGTCGACAGCAAATTCGATCTGGCACACCATCTCGAATCTTAGTGACGATGTTTGCCACCCAGAAACGCAGCAGTGATACTGAGGTTCAAATGTTGCCAAAGATGGCCAAGACTGAAAGCCAGACAATCCAGAATCCCGAAGTTCCCGAAAGCAATGGTCCTGTAACCAATAACAATCCATCCACTGATAACTCCCCACTCAGTACCAACCCTACCAATGAACCATCAATCATCACTCATGGTCCCAAATTCCGTCAACTTGATGCACCTACTCAGAACCAAATTCGGAAGATACACCAAAATTTGGGTCATCCTGACAATCGAGTGTTACAACTCGCCCTGAAGCGCTATGGGTGGCCCATTGAGAGCGTTCAAGGTTGTGCCGATTTTCAATGCCCAGTATGTGCCGAGAGCCAAAAGCCAAAAACAGCCCGACCAGGCCATTTAACCCAACCCAAAGATTTCAACGACCAAGTTTCTTTCGATGGTGCTGAATGGCAATCACCAGAAGGACACAAATTTCCCTTTTACCATTTCATTGACACCGCTTCCAATTACCACATTGCTGTACCATATTTTCAAAGGACCACCGAAGGGTTGATTGAGGCTTTTTCACATGCATGGCTTCGCTGGGCAGGGCCGCCCAAGAGCCTCCTGTTTGACAGTGCCACGGAAGCCAACAGTACTGAGTTTGCCAGGTTTTTGCAAGAACATGCTATCGAAAGTTTTGTGATTCCCACGGAAGCCCATTGGCAATTGGGGCGAGCCGAAAGACATGGAGCCACGCTGAAACACATGATAGACCGATATCATGAAGAATTTCCTATCACCACCCAAGGGGATTTTGATAAGTGCCTCCTTCAACTTTGCAATGCGAAGAACTCAATGTCTCGACATGAAGGCTACACCCCTGAACTTTGGGTCTTGGGAAAAATGAGACCCATTCCAGGTAGCAATTGTTCTACGGACTTGGACAGCGCCAGCTTTGCCGGCCTTGATCAGTCCCCTGAAGGCCAAAGGTTCCAAGAACAGCTTGCACGGCGCGAAGCCGCCCGCATGGCGTTCGTGAAGGCTGATCACAGCCTAGCACTTCGAAGAGCCTTACATGCACGGTCCAGACCAAACAGAAACACCTTCCAACCAGGGAACTTAGTCATGTTTTGGAGAAATGGAAAAGGAGTAGAAGATGGTAGCTGGCATGGGCCCGCCCGGGTTCTCATGACTGAAGGTGCCAACTTGATCTGGATCAGTCACCTCACAAGGTTGTATCGATGTGCACCAGAACATGTGCGTTGCTTGTCTCAGGATGAAAATGACTCTTTAACGCCCGAAGAAAAGAGCCAATCTTTGCAACTGCCGGCACGATGTGGGAATGGAGTTTTTCAATTTCATGAACTATCACAACAACCTCCATTAGATTCGGCCAGACCCCAGAATACCAATCATAATGGACCCATAATCACTGATCAAATTATCAACAACACACCAAATGTTGCCATCCCAATTCCACAAGAGACGCCACCTGCATCCGTGACACAACCCGACGATGAACCAGAGAATAACTCAGAATCTCAACCAAACGCTGAAACCAATGCTGAGACTCCCAATGCCGAAAGCCCGGGGACAATTGATCCTGCTGTTGTTGTTCCAGTCCCGGATGAGACTGACGATGACTCAGTGGCCAACCATTTTGAACATGACACTTGGGAGATACACCAAGGACAGTTGATCCGACATCATCCGAATTTCCGGATTCAAATGTTCAGTCCATTTGATGCTTGGAATTGTCCCATAGATGTGAATGACCTCGATGATAGTCGTGTGACTGTAGGTACATATCAATCAGGAGCCAGTTTCCAGAGAACAGAAACATGGAGAAACTCTGTTCAAGCCGTGTTGCCACAACCCGAACCATGGATTGGAAAGACCATTTTCAACTTCAAAGTTCCCCAAGATCAGATCCATTTTTCTACCACGTCCCATAACCCCAAACAACAACCAAATACGACAGAGAACACTGTAACCTATGCCGAAATCCTCCTTACACTTGATGACTTCCAAAAATGTTTGGGAAAAACCTATGAATATCAAGAAGCTTATTTGGCATCTCAGGCCAAACGCCAAAAGATTGAAGTGAAGACACGAGACTTGAACCAATCCGACAAAGAACTTTTCAGTAAAGCCAAGGACAAAGAACTTGAATCGTGGTTGGCCACGGACACCGTCAAGCGCATTCTGAGAAGTCGCATCCCTGAAGGGCAACTGCTTCGATCCCGATGGGTCCTCACATGGAAAACACTTGACGAAGTAGAACAAAAGGAGACTGGGATGAGCCGTAAGGCGAAAGCACGTCTAGTGATTTTGGGATATGAAGATCCTTTGATCGATTCCCTTCCTCGCGACTCTCCGACCTTAGGCAGGGATAGCAGAATGTTAGCACTTCAGTGTATTGCCAGCCATCGATGGACTGCCCGTTCCTTTGATATCAAGACCGCGTTTTTGCGAGGCAGCCGCCAAGATTCCAGAATCCTTGGAGTAGAACCCCCGCAAGAATTGAGATTAAAAATGAAACTTCAGGACAATGAAGTATGTGAACTCTTGAAAGGTGCATATGGACTTATCAATGCCCCTTTGCTTTGGTATGTTGAGTTGAAAAATGCCCTTCTTGCACTGGGTTTTGTTATTTCCCCCCTTGACCCATGTCTATTCGTGTTGCCTCGACGCGATTCCAAAGGTCATGAACCCAAGATACATGGAATAGTCGGCATACATGTAGATGACGGAATAGGAGGGGGAGACTCAGTGTTTCATCAGACCATACAAGCATTGGAACGAAAATATCCATTCGGCAGCCAGAGACAGGGTTCCTTCACTTTCACTGGAGTTCAAATCCATCAAGAACACAATGGTGAAATTCATCTCTCCCAAAAAGAATATATCAATGATATACCACCTATTAACGTGAACCGAGAGAGACGAAAGAATCCACAAACTCCAATCAATCAACAGGAATTGCAAGATCTACGTGGCCTCATAGGCAGTTTGCAGTATGCAGCCACCAATACCCGTCCTGACATATCCTGCCGGCTTAGCCTCTTGCAAGCTAGGATCACCTGCGCGACCGTAGCAGACCTGTTAGCTGGCAATCGCCTGTTGGCTGACGCCAAGAATCATGCTGAGACCACCATCAAGATTAAACCTTTGGATCCCAACCAAGTGAGGTTTTTGTCATTTTCAGATGCTGCATTCGCGACACGTGAAAAAGCCCATTCTCAAAAAGGATGTTTGATTCTTGCCACCACGGATACCATAGATCAACTCAAGACTGCAGAAGTGAGCCCTCTAGTTTGGTTTTCAAAAAAGATCAATAGAGTGGTTTCAAGCACGCTGGCTTCAGAAACCTATGCTTTATCCGGAGCTCTTGACACCTTGAGCTGGATTCGCATCCACTGGGCATGGATACTTAATCCCCAACTTGCATGGAAAGAACCGGAAAACACCTTGAAGGCACTTCCCAAAGCCTTTGCTGTTGTGGACTGCAAGAGCCTGTTCGACCTTCTTCAGAAAACCTCCATACCACAATGTTCTGAATACCGAACCATGTTGGAGGCGTTGGTCATTAAAGACCGATTAAAGGAAGGGGTCATAATTAAATGGGTGCATAGCGCTGCTCAAATGGCAGACTCACTGACTAAGGATATGGACACCACAGTGCTTAGATCGTTCCTCGAACGGGGAAAGTGTATCTTACATGATGTGGATGAAATCCTGAAACAGAGAGCCGACAAAAAGATCCGACAACAATGGTACAATCAAAGCAGTTCCTTTGAGTCAGCCTTGCATGTTTTTGCGTTGTGCTTGATGTCAGCCGATGAGCTGTCTAAGTCACAATAAATTAGTTTGGAAAAGCAGCTTCCGCCGATAGCACCCGAGACTTTTGAGCCACAGCCCAATACTTGCCTTGAGGGAAGATCACTCCTGCTCCGTTGTCCATATTCAAAATTCAACTGACTATTTTGAAAATAGATAATTTTTAGGAGTGTGATTTTCCTGATAAACCTTGAGGTAACCACTTACATGTCTTGGAAGGGCCATTCAACGAGTTGAATCCATGTGGATAACCTTGACTTTGCATCGACTGTCCGATGCTTTACCAGTGGCTCAGGGCAGCCATCAGGAAAGGGCTGAGGGCTTAGGTGGCCCCATCTTAGGTGACTTCACGTGCTCGTGGCCGAGCCATAGCGGAAAACAGATTGAGCTTGGGAGCTTATCGTTGTGGACCAGGGAGTTCAATCAAAGGGATTTGCTTGTTGCAATTATCTTGCTACCAGTGTGGGTGAAACCACAATATATATGTATATATATACACACATAGTATATATGATTTTATGATTGATATTCGCATGTTCCCCATGACTCTGATGCCTTTTGGTACCCTGGCCGAATTCTGGAACCATTGTGAAGCATATGTGAAGCATAGAAATTCCTTATTCCCTTTTCCATCCCTTTTCCGGGCCTCATCCAAGCGTTTCTGCAAGTCGGCAAGGTCAGCACGCAGCTGGGTCATCTCGGCCGTCGCTTCGGTCTTGTCCCGAGAGATCTCCATCAGTCGATCCAACTCCTTTCGCATCGCCAGCTTCCGCTCCAGCAATGGCGCACGCTTGGACTGTTTCCATTCGTTCAAGCAGGCGCCAAACTCCACAATGAGGCTGATGTCACCTCTGTTCATCTCAAATCATCTCAAATCAGCATATACATCAAGTGACACATATATATATATTATAATATATTATATATAATTTATAATAATTAACGGCACAAGTGATTATGTCAAACTCTGTCAAACATGTGATTTTCTCCTGAAGTCTCACCATCTATCAATAATCGTTCAAAATCAACCACGCCCCTCAATACATCCTTTATTTGTTGTGGTCTCAAGCGCCTGTCAAGACTAAGTGGGCGAAGGTTCTCAACAATGGATGGGGTGGGGCTTGCTGACGCTTGGAGCGTAGTTGACCAATCTTCCGGTCGATGCTATCCACGTTGCTCTCCAAAAGACGTCGCTCCTCAGGCTCCAAATATTCCTTGCCACGACCAAGACATCGAACTTTATCTTGGATCAGCACAGTGAGTTGTTGATGACTCTGAGCCACTGGAAAAAGCTTCCCAAGAAGACCTTCACATGAAGCACCTGGGTCCAACTCTGTCAACACGCGTTGTGCCAACGCACCGGGTCCAGGTCCCTTCTCCCGCTTCTCCCGCTTCTCCTTTCCTGCCGACAGCTTCTGGCCACTCTGAGCAAAAAGTTCGGCGAATTGTGCGTAGCATTGCTGAAGCACTGGCATGGGGGGGAATTTCTTTTTGGATTTGGGCGCCGCGGCTAACGCCTCTTCCAGTGACAAACCTCCTTCCCATTGCAAAGTGGCAAGAGATATTCCACGGCTCTTCCTGAGTGATTTCACTTCGTTGGTCAGCTCGGTTGGCCCTAAACTTGCCAAAGGCGTCACTAACCACGCCTCAGACGTCTTCAATACTTCTGGCCTCAGACTCTTTGCAACGCTTTGTACAGATGCAACAACTCGTCTTTGCTCTGAGGGACCATGGTCATCCTCTGCATCTCTCAGCAATAGCAACAGTGAAAACGAAGTATTTTCAGCTGCAGACAGAACTGACAGAAGCTGTTGAAGACCAGGTTTTGGGCGCCCATCAGCTTCAAAGTCTGTCTTCAGTGAAGCATGTAGCAATGTCAGAGTTGTAAAGCTCTGGAGTGTAGCGGTTAGAGCCTCACAAAGAGGGTCACTCTGGCTGAAACTGTGAACATCAGCCAAAGTCACACCTCGCATGCATTCCTCACGAGCAAAATCTCCAATGATATCAATGGATGGCATGGAGTGAATCCTCAAGGGGTTCTGTGGTCCACGGAAATGACACTCTTGTAGTGCATAGAGGTACTGCAGCAAATATGACTTTCCCAGTGTGGTGTCTGTCCCCACAGACATGACGAGAGGGTAGGATGGACTGCAAAAGAGCTCCCTGAGGGCTCCCCACTGAATCTGGGATGCCAACTGCAATCCAGGGCTATCCCGACGATTCACGGCCCAACCAAACAACAGCGGCAACGGCGAGTCCGTTTTTGCCGCCAGAGTCATCATCCTTGCTTGGGAGGTACCTGGCGGCATACCTCGGGATGTTAGAATTTCAGCCAGAGTATGATCTGGACATGCCATGGACACAAACGGTTAGATGATATATGATGATATTAAATAGTATTTTGGATTCATTAGATGCGCATATTGGACAAGGAAACTAACTATCTCAAAGACCTCACAACTGACAGGAGCACAAAATGCACAAAGAAAACCAAAGAGATACAGCAACTTGGAGCCGCACTAAAAAATGCCCAAGTTTTATGTCCAAGTTGCTGCTGAAGGTCAAGGCAATCAACACATCACGGGGCTGCAGATGTTTTCTCAACAAATTCTTCTCGACTTTGTCTAAGCCACAACTCCGGAGAGTGTTCAGCATTGATGAGATCCCTTGCCTCACACGAATGAGGCACGTGACGGTCGTGCTTCAAGAATTTAGAGAAACGTATTCTTTGCATTTCCTAAGAACATGATTTGCAAACGAGGTTTGTGTTGTCTGAGTTGTGCTTTCTGTCACAGCCGAACTCGTCCTTTTTTCTTCACACTTCAAACTTCTTCACACTTCACAGCCCAGCGGTCCAAGTCATCCCGGTCCCGGTCCCCGGTCACCGGGTCCTTCGCTTCACCAAATCCACCAGCAGCGGCTTCAGAGCAGCAACCAGGCGTCGACCACCGCAGCGCTGCCGCGCTTCGTTCACCGCGGCACGGCAGAAGCGTTCGAATTCGTCCTCCACGGCTCCGGTCTTTTCGCCTCGACATGATCCATGGTATGCCACGGTATGACATGGTATGCCATGGTTTGTATGTTTCTGACGCGGTTTCAATATGTTTCAATCGTCAGACCTCCAATGTTGAGTCATATCTTTTCATCTCAGTGCTTCAATGTCTGCTATTCGGATCTATTTGGCCACTGCAAAATATCTTTTTACAACCACCATGACACCACATTCAACAACCTATATGCCATGGACCTCTACTACCTCTACTACCTCTACTACCTCTACTACTACCTCTACTATCTGCTGCTCAGCGGCTGAAACGATCATAGACCTCCACCTTCAAAAAGCAGCGGTCCACCGCTTGCGATGTCGCCATGTTGCCTTCAGGAATGCCAAGGAGCTGCAGAAACGCATGATCTTGCACCGATCCTGTGGTTGTCAGACATCACAAATTCACACAACAGGTGAATCACGGTTTATACAGATTTAATATGGTTTAATTATACAGGCTAATAGCATTCAACAAGAACCGCTTCGGGCGCCAAAGAAGCGCATGTTGCGAAGTGAAGGCCCTAGAACCCAATGCCATTGGCAGAGTCCATTGGCATCCATTGGCATTGGCAAACGGCATTGGAAAAAGGGCATGAGCAAAGCAGATGCAAAAAGTGTCCTACGCTCTCCACGCGCTCGGAGTAGGTCGCGAAAGGCAGCTGTGCATCGACCAATGGAGATGGCGCAGCCTTTGGAGAGGCATCCAGGCCGCCCACGCCACCCATTTCACCATCCAACGCCTGACACGGAGAGACTCAAGAGGCTGAGAGACGGAAACACCGTGCAAAAATGATCGAAAATGTGCAAAGTGTAGAGCAAAACATCCATCATTAACATGTCATTAACATTTCATTAACCTCATCCAAACATCATCTATCATCAGATTTTATTTGTTGGCTCCATTTCAAACAGCAGGGGGCAAAGCGGTGCGACTGCCTGCCGCCCTTTCAGCTGCAGTTGTAGGAGCTTCGTTTCCAGAGCAGCATAGGTTTCTCCATAGATCTCTCTCGCACGAGAAGCACCGCCCCCACCGCATTTGGCAGCGCTCTTGGCATCATCGAGTGTCTTTGGCTTTCCCTGCAACATGTTTTTTCTTGCACTTGGGATCTACAAGTATCTACAAGGATCTACAAGGATCTATGGCCTATTTCACTATAGTCTTCTATATTTATCTGCTAAAGAACGCTATTACAACTGCGAGACACAGCGTGCGCAAGGCAGGCTGCGCGGCCTTCTGTAACAACTCCAAGATCCGTTTGAAATCAGGAAAGCCCTGAGCATCCGCTTCAATCGTATCCGGAGATGAGATCTTGTTCTTCAGCAAATTGGCCTTACAGAAATCATGAAAGAGCATGAATACAGTATGAAAGATCCAAAATGGAGGCAATTTCTATTAGTTGCTCATAGATTCACACATTTGTAGGCGCTAGATTCCTCACAAACTGACCAGAGACAGAGTACACAGAGTATGTCAATACAGGTCATTACCCAGGCGCCTTACGCCCTATGACGCTAGCGCCCTCTAGCGCCCTCTAGCGCCCTCTAGCGCCCTCTAGCGCCCTCTAGCGCCCTCTAGCGCCCTCTAGCGCCCTGGCCTGGAGTTTCTCGGCTTCCTTCTTGACCTGACCGATCTCTTCTAAGACGCCCTTGGCAGCGGCAATCCGCGCATCCGCCGCAGCAGCCGAGGTGATCACTGCCAACCCCGGCAGCGGCACCGGTGCACTCCCAGCCAGACGTGTCTCGGGCGCCACTTCAGGGACACCTTCGTCATCCACGCGCATCTGCGCCTGCAAAGCAGTAATGTGGGTCTTCAATGAACGACACGTTGAGTCAGCTTCGTTCAGAAGATCTGCAGTGCGCCGGATTAACTCACTCATGAAGGACAGAAAAATGCGATGTCCACTTTGCCACTCTATAATGCAAACCAACCACCACAGCAGGATGGAACAGCTGTTCAGCTGAACTGTCTTTGCTGCAATACCAATTTCGTTGAACTGCTTGGCATCAATGGGCGTCTCAACCTCGTTGATCTTGTCTGCTGCCAAGTCTTCAAGAGCAGCACGAAGAGTCTCGTGGATTTCAGAGTTTTTCTGCTGCACAATGCGAATCAACACGTAATTGATGTACTGGACCTGCAAGCGCTACACCAGAAGGACTCTTCGGACTTGTTTGATGATGCAAAGTCCACGGATACTATTCTACTCTTGACTTCCAAGGCCAAAAAATGGCAGCCAGTCATAAGTTCAACGTTACGTATTTTTCAAACAGTGAAGTCAGAAGGCACTTTCAAGGGCACTTAATATGCACTAATGAAAGTGGCTCAAAGAATCTTGGTTCCTGAAAAGAGTGCCTGTCCCAACACAATTTCCCATCAAGAAACTGCATAGGGCTCTGCTTCAGGGCTGATCTGGGCAGCATGACACAGCTCCGCAGTGCACTCAGCGAAGGGGTGCGAAGGAGGTGTGCCACCTGCCAATGGAAAAACTGTACAAATCACATGAAAGCACAAAGCGTTGCCAATATCAAACTACAAAAACTATCAAAAATCATCCAATTCAATTCAAGTTCAATAGCACGTGTCTGGTTCCGCCTGATGTCATTGGTCTTCGCAGGCACAAGACCAACCACATTCCTCGCTGCTCTTCTAGAACCCATTGCACATCTGATGGCATGCCTGAAAGGTAGGGATTTTTGTGGAGGAAGTGAAACCTCTGAACTTGAACAAGTGTGATCAAGTGAGCTCGAGTGCAAATGTAAGACTTGAGTAACCTTCTTTGAAGAAGATCCATCAATGAAAAATGGACATGATGGATATCATATGGAAATATTTATATATATATGGAATATGATTAAATATATTAAATATAGTATTAAATATGATGGATATCACAATGGATATCTGATTTTTTCGTTGAGGCACATGTCGCACTGAAAAGCTCAGCGCTTTGACCGTAGACGTGGTGATCCTGGAGTCCCAACTGTCGGGCAGCATGAAGGCTCTCCTGCGACGGATCGGAGGATCAGGCCAGGCCAGGATTGCAGTGAGTGCAGTGAGTGCAGTAAGTGCAGTGAGGATCTCTGATCATTTCGCATAGCACCTGACAGACCTGTTGAATTTCTTCCTATTTGTTCCTATTTGTTTCAATGGATCTCACCGGAGGTGAGCATTGCGAGCATGTCAAATATGTCGTCCTGCAAAGCTGCCAGATCTCCAGAAGTGCTTGCTACTTCCAGCTTTCCAAGTGATTCTTTCATGGTGGCAACGACACCTGGCACAGCATGGAGATGGTGATCCTTGATACACAGACATCCAACGACATCCAACGACACCTGGTCTTGGCAAATGGCTACACCATAGCTACACCATTGAAATGTCGTCCGTCGTCCGCCTTCTGCTTTCTTTACATCATCAGTGATGATGTTGTGCTCGGCTGCTTCTGCAACACTGCTCTCCAGATCTTCAAATTTCCTCCGCAGGTAAACAAAAATTGTTGAAATCAGTAGGACTGTGATATTTCTAACCATTTTTCTGGCAAACTGCTGGCAGATTCCAGGCAAACTGCAAACTCTTGCCTTCGAGGCACATGTTTCGAAGCGCCACGGACACGCCTTTCGCCACTGAATCAAGGCTTTGATGAACGTCTTTCGCCTGGGAAAGAACCTGGGTGGAACAATGAGACATTGAAGTCCTGTAGCCTCGAGATTTGGAAAGTCCCCCAACCAGGCTGCAAGAAGCTTCAGCTTCATTTCAACTATTTTCAACGATGTTCAACTATTTCAACTGAAGTCAGAATTGTTTTTTGAGTCCTACCGTCTGCAGAGCAGCATCTGCCACTTCAGCAACTTCTTCAGGATGGCGACCCTCAGCTTCGCTGATGGCATCGCGCAAGGCATGGTAATCGCCTCGGCCACACTTCATATCACAGACATGATCGTAGGATATTGCAGGACATCGCAGGTGCAGGAAAAATAGGAAAACATTGCGTTTTCGAGGGATGATAAAGAAGTTGCCATCAACAGCTGCACTGCCGCTGGACGTGCAGGAAATCCATGGAAATCCACTCCTTGCCAAGGTTGCCTATGTGACAAGAGTACCTTCATGGTGCCACCAATTGCCACATCCTATGATCGTGTCCATGAACGTGTTAAGACGTGACACGTGGCCATTTTTGGCCATTGGAGTTGACTTCAACTGCCAAAGCGCCGAGCTCGAGCTGCTCTTGGCAGTCTAATCGATATCTGGTGACAACATCTCATGACAACCATGTTAGGCCAAACCAGGAATACCCAGCACATCTAGCTGGAGAACGTATAGTGACATGATTGCCACATTTATGAAGACCAGCACAAAGAACTAACATTCAGCCTAATGCCAAACAGGAAGGGACCAACACAACGCCTTCCTTTTAGTATATGTTGTCAAGTTTTGTCCGTGCTTCTTTCCGTTGAGTGAATTCAGGATTACCTCTTGAGTTATGAATTGAAAGCTGGTTTGCTCTTCATTTTGCTTTCAAGCTGTTGCCCAGCCAATATCTTCCCCCCCAATTTCAGAACTACACTAGGTCCCGCGGCATATACGCTGAACAGTGCTGAACGGCTCCGAAATGATACAATCTGATACGAAAATGCTAAGAACGGATTTTGATTCATGATGTTTCTGACTTGAGAAATCAAATCTATAATATATATATATATATATCATATATTCTAATCATGGAATTCGTTTTGGATTCTTTAGCGAACTAGAAACGGATCAAACAATTTCCACAGGATTTCCCACGGTTCCCAGGCACGGTCTCGAATGGCTGAGATGAGTTTTCCAGTCTTCGAGCTCTGGAGCTTCTGCTGGGCCTTCCGGAAACGAATCACGAAAGATGACAGAAATATGGACGACAGATATAGGACATCTGGTGACATCAGAAGCTGAAAGATGACTTCGACCCATTTGGATGGACTGCATGGGATGGGCTTCTTCACGGGGGGGTTTACTTGAGCAGCAGAAACGAGGAGACAGCAATCGAACTTAATTGCCAAGATCTCAAGCCGCGCACTCTTTCTCTGCTGATTTGCACACTGCGTGGGTTTTGTACACAGCTTTCTGTTTCACATTGGACATCTGGTGACATCAGAAGCTGAAAGATGACTTCGACCCAAATATGCCATACCCATCATCTCCTCGTAACTGGTCCATTCCAAATGAGGAACCATACTGACGCAGGAATATTTGCATTCCAAAATTCTTCAGCACCATGTAACGCTGTCAAGAAAAATTCACAGAGAGCAAAGATTTTTTGTTGAGCAGCAGGTGGTAAAATTGCAAGAAATTGAAAAGACGAAATCTCTTGGAGGTATATCTCCATAACCTTCTGACTGATCCATCGCCCACGGCGACGTACAAATTCACCATTTTCTGTCTGCTGAATCATCCAAGTTGCACCTCCAGGACGAAGAGATCCTAGGTCAAGGGTCTTGCCGTTCAAGGTGATATCAGGCTTTAGCCCCAACTCGCTCATAACTTGCTTGAAACGTAGCCGCAATGTTTGGCCTGATTTTGGCCACAGCTTCTGCGAGGGGCGAAGCCTTGAAAAAGCAACATGAACAACACGCAGCAAATCTGGTACATCCAATTTGGCAGACTGGTGTCTGGCAGCTGTGAACCTTGTTTTCGGCTCTTTGAGGGCCAAAAGTGCAAATTGATTTGTATAATTTGTATCAACCGGCAGTAACAAATCACGCCTTGTAGCTTGAAGAAACTCTCCTACTCTTAACAGTGATCCCCATGTGAGGGCGAACATTCCAGCAACGTCGACCCAACCCCATACCAGGCATACTGAAATAGCCGACAACAGAATCTGCCAAGGCATAGCCACATGGTGTATGGAAGGTTCTTCTCTCACCCACGAATAGGCCAAGTTCCAGGCCTCCTGCAGTTGACGACGTACTACAGGTTTTCGTGCAGCAATGGCGTTAATTGTTTCTGCATAATGGTTGTAAGGGCGCCCCGATGCATACAGAGCACGTCCAAACTGCACAAGCAGTTTATTCAGTAAATCAATTTGAGTAAAATGGTTTTCCAGCAAAAACTCCAGGGAATGCCCCAAAGAACCGAGCCATGCCTCAAAGAGGGTAATGAACGAGCTCCTCTGTTGTGTAGTGACAGACAAAACTGGGCGTCCTTCTTGCAGCGGTGGTCTCAAGCTCCGTTGTTGCTGTCGTAGTAAGTCTCCAGAATTTCGTGGGGCCAACACCGCTGCTGTAAGCCATGGCTGGAAGATTAAGACTACAACTACAACCCTGAGGGGAGCACAGTTGCCAACGAAGCCTAAAGGGGGACCTTCCCCAGGATAACCAAGCGTGGCATCAAAGTCCAGACCATGAAAATCAGACAAAGACACCTTAGGGACATCACCACAACAGACAGACTTTGCCATGTAGCGAGGGGCTCTGAACAGAGAACGGTCAGTGAACGACAGTGCACAAGGACCACAAATCCGCAACACCAACCTGACCCAATTTGAAAAGGCACGCTTAAAGCGAGGAAAAGAAGCCAAACGAAACAGGTCAGCACGATCCCAAGTGGCTAAGTCCAAACCCGGGATTGGTTCACGCAAAACAACATCACGTGTTGGGTCATCGGCAATGTTGAGCCTAGTGGGGACAAAACCAAAAACGAGATAAAGCCCCCCAGCGATTGCTAAAGCAGCAAGCCTGACCAAGAATCGTGACAAAGCCCGGGACGAAGAACGGCCCTTTGAAGCAGCACATCTTATGACATTGGAGTCCACAAGTATCACTACACGTAGGGCTTTGCCTTCTTTCACTAGACGGCTGACAAGCTTCATGACCGAAGACAATTCCAAGACATTTATATGTGCAGAAATTCGAAAAGTCCAGACTGCATCCAAAGACCACTTAAGCGACAAGCAGAGCTCATTAATCAACTGGCTCTCCAAACCACTAGGCTTTGGGCCTTCGGCATCATATTCTGCACGCAGTCTCCTAATTCCACGGATCATGACTTCAGCCAAAGCTTTTGACAGGCCATCGACATAAGTAGCTGACTTCTTAGTCAAAGAACCTTCAATAGGCACATGAATATGGTCACCAGAACATCTGCCAGAAATGGGTTCAACATCCGCCCAAGCGCACAGGAAAGCGAAGGCTTTTAGATGAACTGAACCATAGCTGCAAGAATCGCACCTAACCAAACTGCACCCAACCTGAGCCAAAAGGATACTCCAGCCTGGAAGGAACTTCATCAGAGTCGGCCAAGGGTTCTCCAGGACACCGGTGACCCCATAAACAAGACAAGCATACAGCAGTTGAAATGCCCGATATGCAAGTAAAGTTCCCATTCTGGTCTGTGGATCCTTAGGGTTGAAACCAAACGGAACAGCTCTGGACCTAAGAGCTGGCCTCCGCATGATACTATGGGTGGTGCAAGGCGGCTCAATCATAAGCGACTCCACAAGATGATTCACCACCAAGTGTAGAAGCCACTCAAAAACATGAACCAGCGAAACATCAAGTTCAGCATCAAAGGAGATATCGATAGGGTTGCAAACTGAAAAGCCACGGTCAGCCATCTGCCGAGTGACTGTGGCAGCACCTGCAAAGACCTCAACGAAATCGAATTTGTAAGCCAAAGGTCGCTTTATAGTTTCAGGCTTTTGGGGTTCCTCTTCCTCAAAATCCAAGCACCTAGCAAGGACAGACTGCTCCTTCGAAAGTAGCTTTGAGTAACCACCTTTTGACCTGCAACTACGCCACAACACCTGCATAATCTCACGGTCAATGGGACTAGATACAATGGCTCCTTTCTGCAGGGATGCATCAGTGGCGAACAACCGATCACAAAAATCCACTGCGATGTCAGAAACACACAGAGGGGACAAAATGCTAACCAAGGTCAGTTCGTTTGCAACTGGTCTAGAAAGTCCAACCAGTTTTGGATCAGCTGCGTCAAACTGATTCACATCAACCAGCGCAAAGGACTTTTGAAGGATGGACATAAAAGGGCGTCTAAACATCATTATAGAGGTCCATCCCCCCAAAATGCACAAGTGCAGCGAGTCCGAAGTATGGTTCAACTGACATACTTGCAGGGTCACCCACGACAGAGACATGCGTTTTTCTGCAGGGGCGGCAACAAGGACATGGCCTCTACTTCTGCATTGCTCTGACGAGTCAACTGAGGCACCTATGATTTTTGCCTTTGAGGCGCCAGTTATATCTTTATCATCTGAACCAAGGATGGCATGTTTTTTATACAAAGCTTTGCTTCGGGCAAGACACTCCGTTGCAGCATTGGCATCGGTAGCTCCAACTGGAACCCTGGCAATTGCAAAGTAATCGTCAATAACCAAACCCTGGCACAAATCATCGCCGGCAAAAGGTCTACTGGAAACAATCCTGGTGTCCTCAGTCAAAAGCCCTGCCGATTTCAGCAACCCTTCATGGGCAGAAGTGGCAATTTCAACACCTGCATGGTCACCCTGGAAGATACTTTTGAAACTAGCCATGCAGTAACCTGCTGGACACTTTGGGAATCGCTGCCTATCTGAAAGTCCAAGCTTGTCTCATCCAACAAGACGGGATGGCTTTCGACATCTAGCGGCAGCAACAAAAGCATCATGGGCCGCAGTGTCACGCAACAAGCTAAGAGGCAAAAGGGGTCCAACTGTATTAGACATCGTACGGTTCACTGACGTAGCAAACTGATGATAAAAGTCCCTCCTGTCTGTACAGACAATTGACAGGGTGTGAGTAAGAGGATTAACTTGCAGATCTAAAAGGCATGCTCCAGTGGGTAAATTGGTTGAAGGGCCAATCACACGTTTTTCCACTGCATTTCTACCCCTACGGTCACCAATCTGCCGGTCAACCTCCAAGGACTTCAAACAGTTGAACACCCTAACAAGCTCAAAACGCTTGGCATGGAAAAGGTCAACATCGTGTAGGTGCAAAAGGCCACGGACATCCCACACTTTGGCAAGGGCTACAACCTCCTCCTCAGCATCACAACGTTGTGGGTAGTCGAAAGACTGAGGGTCAGTGTCAAACAAAAGTGAATCAGGGTACCTGTAGGCCATACACAGATCAGGCTCGAGGAAAGCCGTAGCATCAAAATGGCCCGACCCAACCACCTTCAAACGTTCAGCCTCCAAAGATTTATAGGGAACCAACTCCGGAAACAAAGTGTTGTCCATGGGCACCGAGTGGCCTGGATAGACCTTCTCATAAGGTCCAGCTCCGACTCCAAGTTTCGTCACTACGTCAGACAGTTCAGATAAACGAGCTACAAGTTGGTGAAAGCGCCGACCACTTCTGAGAACGTCCACCGCCTCAGAGGGGCCGTCAGCCAGCATAAGGCTAGCCAGCCGATGCAAAATCTTGCGTTGGCTAATGCTAGGGGCCCTCTCCAGATGTTCCAACGGTATGAAACAGTTGCCACTCCACCAGAAGTTAAGTGCCATAGTTACCACATGCAATGCACGACGGAAATTGACACGTCTTCTTTTGGCTGATGACAAACCTGGAGGCATCTTTGCGAAAATTCCTGGGTACGGAATGGGCAAAGGGAAAGCTGACGATACCGAAGGCACAATGCTTCGGGACAGGTGCAAGGTAGCTCTGAGAAAAACAGAAAAAGGGGATCTAGTCCGCAGCACAGCCACTGTTAACAGTGCACACCATTTGCCAAAGCTCAGAGAGTCCACAACAGGGCTAGAACGAATTCCATCGGCATAGGAGTCGGGTGAAAATCCACAGGCTTTGCATTTCCTATTCACCCCAAGCTTATGCCTACAGTTTGGGCAATGACTAAATTTCCCAGTTAAAAATCCACCACCTATTAATTTAGTAGGAGAGCCAGGTTTGGGCTCCCCGCATGCATGCAAGCCACTGGAGTGTGCTAGGCCTCCGGGGCCTTGGCCTTGGGTTTCTTTGGAAACCTTGGCTTTCTCCTTGGCGACGTCTCTCCCTCTGGCTCCTGCGTTGACGGAGAAGCTGGAGTTGCAGGCGGAGGCTTCCCCGCTTTCTTTGCGGTTTCTGTTTTTCGTGAAGCCAGGACCTCGAGATCCTTCAGGTAAGACAAAACCACTGCAGTCCACTGCGGTGGCACTAATGGGCCGAAAGGCTTGCTGTGATGGACCACATTCGTTGACCTCTCTTGGAAAACTTGTAGAGGAGGTTCTTCGAGGAGCGTGAGGAGGAATGCAAGCGTCCAATCCCCCTTGTCCGTCACTGCCTGCTGGACTGCCACAAGCAACAAGGCTATCACCTCTTTTGTCAGCCTGAAATCGCCTGCAGATGCTGCATCCACCGCATGACCCAATATCCAAGCCACAAGTCCAAGTTCCCGATGGCTCCTGTAACCTCCCTGACGTTCTAGGTATGTCAAAACTGACACACCCTGCAACTCTGCTTCGGTCTGTGGGACCGGCCTCGAAGGCTGGAGCCTCCTGTGAATTTGTTGGAGCATCTGCAGAAAGTAAGTACTGGTCCCTTGCGCTAGGTCGTTTTGCATCTTCTCCCTGCGCTGAACGCCTTTTGTAGTACTCTGCAGTTGACTTCCGGAAGCGAGGTCCCCAAGCACATCCCCTGACTGAGAGGCAAGGTGAGCAACAAGCTGGGTGATCGCCGTGCTCTGCTGAGCTATGGCTGCAACAATACCACCTGATGAGTCTCCTTCTGGTTGTAAAACATCGTATGGCTCGTCGGGAGCCACATCTGTCGCACCAAGCTGAGCAGGAGTATTTCTGACCTTCGGAGGCGGGCTTAGGAGAGTCAAAGCCTTTGCAGCCCCGGCCGTCGACATCACCCCAGCACCTATGAGCCCTCCTGAAACTGCAGGAAGCTTGGACGAAGGGCCAACAAAAGGACCTGGCACATTTGCGGCATAAGAAGCGCTGCTTTTCTCCAGCGACTCTTGTCTTTGGGCAAGCAACTGCATCTGTGCGGAGAGGGCATTCAGCTGGTCCGCAATCATGTTGTTGGTAATCCTTTTTGCCTGGGTTGCTTTCTTTGCCGGTGAAGCCTGTGAGGGCACAGGGATCTTTGGGTTTGCAGTCAGGTCTTCTTGAGCTGTATAAAAACCCAAAACATCTTCACCTCTTTCAACAACCCATTCACGGACTTTCGGCAGCAGCAAATTGGCATCTGGCAAGCTGGTGGGATGATCAAGAGAAAAACCAAGGATATTTGCCATATGGTCTGTGACAGGGTCGTATTCACGAGCCGCCAACAAAATGTCGTCAGTCACATCGACAACTAGCACCTCAGCTTCAATTCCCAAAGAAACAGTAGTGGTGAAATCCTCAGACTCCTCAATAAGAGGTGCTGTGAAAACTGAATTCGGGCCAACCATGGTCTCATCGGATCCAAGCTGACCATCTGCAATGACCTGAGGTCGGAACGTGTCACGGGGAACTGCAATCAACATGCCACCAGGACGAAAATCCATAGGCAAGGCAAAAACATCAACATCATTTTCCACAGCTGCAAGGGTTGCAGGAATCGTGCATACCAGCAATGATGGATCACCCTTACTTGCTGGCTTCAGTCTGTCTTTATTCAGCATGGCTCAAACAACGGAGGGACGGCCAGACGTGCACCTTGACAAAAGACCTCCAGTTCAGTCAGGGTTTCAAAGCCGTATGCAATAAGTCCACCCCCTGATCCTACGATCTGGTCACGGAAGACCTCGAAATGCACTTCAGAACCAAACCTGACGTAGCCTCCCAAACCGCAAGCACGGAGCACAATATAGTGACAAGCCGACAGACCAGGATCAGACAAATAGGCCGGAGACGTGAAGGTTTCAACAGCAACTCGAGCCCAAAATCCAGCTGAGTAGGCAAGATGAACCCTTTGCAGGTCCTCACGATGATCCCCGGAGATAAAATCACTCTGATCTTCAACCAAACGCGGAACTGGCCCCGGGCCGTCTTCAACAGAGCTGAAAGGACGTCCAATGAAGTCAGGTCCAGCCTCTTCTACCACCTTCCAGAGTCGAGCAATGGGCGGAATCGCCGGAAACACAGTGACAGGACGAATGGGTCCAGCAGCCACAGCACGAGCTCGAGGGTCACCTCGACGATAACCTTGTTCCGAAGGCTGAGCGGTCTGGCTACTTTCCAACTGCCTCTGGTATGCCTCAAGTTGTTCCAGCTGAGAGATAAGTCCACGGATCTCAGCAGCACCAAAGGGAATGCTCATTCAAGGTATCTAGCCAAACGGGGCCTAGGACCAGGAGGAGCCGCAGGAGGGAAAGCCAGGCGAACCAATTCCAACCTGAAAATCCAAACCAGGCACAGAATTCCAACCAAGGCAAGGCCACAGAAGAACCCCAAAAGGACACCGAGGCACAACCAAGGCAAACAGGAACCACCACAGTGGAACGGGCAACTGGAAAGCCTAGAGACTTCGTTGACAACTGTAAGCCACCCCCAAACTTTCTCAAGACCTCCTATCATTTACTTGAGCAGCAGAAACGAGGAGACAGCAATCGAACTTAATTGCCAACAGTAATGGAAGCGAAATATGTCAAAATATGTCAAATCAGAGTTTTCTTAATCAGATTGAAATTTGGAAACTTTGGAAATTTGGAAGCAATCGAAACCCTTCGGAATGTTTGGGTCGGACCAGAGTCCTATGGGGTCCATCGGATCTACAGCATCGGACAGCCTCATCAACCACAGGAGTCTTCAGCCCTTGACGTCCAGCTTCTTCCAAAGCGGTCGTCAAATGCACCCTGCATCGACATCTTGGCAGATGGCACTGGTGCTCCGGAAAACTACAGAAAATCAAACAAGGATGAAATTCGGATGAAAGTTCCTAAAAGATGCTCGGAGAATGGCACCAACTTCATCTTACATTCGGCAAAACTTGAAGTGTCATGGACGACTCAACACCACCTCTCATATATATCTCATTAAACCCGGTATATGTGTGGTTCTTCTTCCGTCTTCGCCTGTCGCCGGTTTCGATTGCCTTCTGCACCTGTCGTTCAGCTGTGCGAAGCTCACGTAGACGTGCCTCCAAGCAGGCAGGAAGTGCACAGTATCTGCCTGGTTTCGATGAAGGTTCTCGCTGGATTAAGTTGATCTTAGGTGTATATAGGTGTACAGTATATTACAGTATCTGCATTTGTTCCAATACAATGCAGCCTCCGCGCGAAAGAGTCTAGAAATAATATGAAATAATATGAAATCATGAATCATGATCCATAGATATCTATTAGCTATAAGCATCTTTAAACATCTTTAAACATCTTTAAACATCTTTAAACGATATCTGCCAATATCAGCGAAATGCAATAGAAGCATGGCTGTAGCATGGCGCTTCGCCTGGGCAGGCACCAAGTGTTCTTCATCCAGGCCATGGTCTTGTGCTTCCTGCAACGCACCTTCCAAACAATCGGGATCTCCACTTCCGTGCGAATGCTTCAGCCTGAAGGTTGCTGAAGATTGCTGAAGATTGTTGAAGTACACATTCCAAACATGTCCAAACATTGAAGTCATTCAATTGATTTTCAGCGAAGTCACATCTGCAGAACACAACTAACGCAGCAGTTAGATGCAGTTAGCACATCGTTTTCAGTGCTATCAAAACCATTCAAAACCTGTGGCCCAAAATCATCTTAGGCTGCAGCTTTTCTTTGGCATCGACCTGGAACTCAGCATGCTCACAGGGTCAATTGACGGTCAACCAAAAAAATGCTGTGACATGCAGTCCATTCGGACAGCGCTGGCAGGCCTGCTTTTTCTGCTGCAAAAGTTGCTCCTCAAAGCGCTTCTCAACGCTTTGAAGTTCCAAACGTGCTTGTTGGCATTCTTCAGCGCAGCTTGGCCCGCAGGCATCCTCATGGCGACACGGGTCATTTCTTAGAATCAAGAAGGATGTCAACATTATCAACACATCACGACATAATTCCAAGTGATTCAACGTGACTCAAAATGATTCAAAGCAATCGAAATTGTTTTTTAAAAAAAATAGTTGAAGAACCGCATTGGAATGATTCGAAATGACTCGAAATGACTCGAAATGATTCAATTCGTGACACAATTCACGTCCTCCATGCGCTTCATCACACGCTTGGCTTCTGCCATGGATTCACTTCCACCAGATTGGATGGCTCCAGGAGCACAGACTTTCCTCAAATGCTCCTGGGATGTGCCAAGGCACAAAAATTCAAACCCTTAGGTGATGTCAAAGTGACAAAGTGACAAAGTGACATCTCCAAAGGATCCAAATCCCCAGCCCAGTCCTCCAGCTCCTGCTGAAGCAATGCCTGAAGCTGCCTCGGGTTAAAACCCGAAAGGAAACCCGATGATAAGTGGCCGAAGAATGTGAACAAGAATGTGAACGGGGACTTCTGCGGTGGCTGAAAATTCATGAAATATCAATTTGTATCAATTTGGAACTTTGCAAGCAAAACTTGTAAGTTATAGTTATAACTTATATAACATGTTATAACTTTTAATTAATTATAACTATAAATTATAACATATTATATAACATGTTACAACAGATTTATATACTTTGAACATCTTCGAACAGTGATCCACCTCCACCTCTGGGGCACCAGGCTTGCGTGCAGAAGAGAGTAGCTGTGAGGAAAGTGGAGCACGGTGCAGAGCACCGCTTCGTTGCTTCACCGCAACATCCTGCCGCGAGACTTGACTGTGAAGATTGTGAAGCGACATATATATATATACATATATCAACATGATCATCCCTGTTCACTGAGAAACTTCACAGCGTGCGGCCAAAAGACTAGAAGAAACAAAATGTTCTTCATTTCCAAATTTGGTGAATGTTCAATAAAACGATATAAAACGATATAAAACGATATAAAACGTTCAATAATGTCTTAATGAAACATCATGAAACATTGAAACATGTTTTAATGAAGCTCTCGGCGTCCTGCAAGGCCGCCTCCAACATCTCGGGCTCACAACTCTCTGCCAGCGTCGCAGCACGCAGCTTCTGCTGCACCTGCTGTGCCGTTTCGTCCATGCTGCGTTTCTCCTGCAGCACGGCCTCTCCACGCGTCTTCAAAGTCTCCAAAGATCGTTGTGTCTCTGTGGGTAACTCAGACACTTCCGAAATCCTTTGTTGAAGTTCTTGATAAACAGTTTCATCACCAGATGTGTCCTCTGCCCAGGTTAAGAGCTGTTGCAATGACTGCTCTACTTCCACCCGACGCCTCTCCAGTGCCTTTTTCTCGTTACAGCGACGCTGCAACTGTGTCACGGCCTCCCGGAACTGAGCCGCGGCCAAGTTCGCTCGTTCCGCCGCGTCCGGCAGCTCTCGTAACAGCTCCAGATGTTCCACGGCCCGCGCTTCCCGCGCTTCCGACACCTCGTCGGAGTTGGCTTCGCGGGTCAAAGTCGCGATCAAACTCGACACCTTCGACTCCACCTCACCAAACTCCGACAAATGACAACAATCATCCTGCGCAGCGCCGCGCAGGATGTCAACGGAATCCCCCAAACTCACATCTCCCGATAGAGCAGCTCGCAAACGTGATAGTTGTCGTGTCTCTAAAAGCCGTCGCTGTAGTTTCGTCATCTCTTCGAATTTCTCTCGATTCCATTCTTGTAGTCCAACCTCTGATGCATCTTTCAAGGCTGGACCTAAACGATTCACATCATTGCTGGCTCTCTGTACCGCCTCTTCAGCATCCACCAGTTTCAAGCGCTTTTCCTGCAGCTCTTCCAGCAAGGGATCGTCCAAATGACATGCTAAGGCTTTGTCTAAAGCTTGGCAAAGCTGCGGAAGATTTCGTGCTCTTTCTGCTCGTTTCAAATCAACACTTGCAGATTCCAAGTCTGATTTCCGTTGAAGATCCATGTGTAAAAGTTCATCTGGAACGGCCAAACCTTCCACCTGCAGGGAACAGGTTTTCCAACAGGAAAACATGCTGAGCTTAGCTAATGACGAAGTAAAAGTAGGAGCACGATTTGAAACTTCATGTCGTCAATGCGCATCTCATACTACTGTCACCATTTTTTTCGTTACGGGGTAGAACTGTCGAACGCAAAAAAATTGGGAAAATTGGTGATTTGGTGGTTTCCCAGCCTTGGAACTTGGTGCCAATTTCAGTCTAACGACCACCACAGATTTTTTGGCCTTGAAAGCACCACAGCTTTTGGCCCAACTTCGCAAAAGTTTTTCCAGCTGGTCGCAACTCATGGGTTTTTTTGTGTCCACTTTTAAAGGGCCACCACCCCGATGTTGCCACGTGACACTGAAGACATCACGTCCCAACTCAACTTCAAATCCATCTGCTTCACCTCGCGCCCCTTTCTTGAAGCACAAGCACAAGACACCGCCAAAAAAGGCTTTCTCCACAATGCAATTGCCATAACTTGAGGCAAATTTCAATAGCTCCTGTTGGGTTGAAAGATCTGATGCATTCATGATCTGCTTCACACCAGGCTCCACAAAGGCAGGATTCCGGAAGGGCGAATACAGCTTTTTGAATGCAATAGATGCCAGTTCAACCCTGAGGCTTAGGATAAAGCCGCTGCGGTTTGGAGCAAAACCTCAGGCCAAAATATGCCAAAATGCAAACGGACCCGCGGCGACCCGCGGATCACAGAATGATCAGAATGGGATGCCATGGCTTCAAGAGCTTCAAGAATATGGGGCAAACAAGGCCGCAAACAAGGCCGCAAACCATCAGTGGTGACAGGTCAAGTGACAGGTCGAGTGCGAGACAAGTAAACTAAATAAACAAAAAGTTCACGAGATACGAGATGAAAGGTATGAAATGCATGAAGAAGATGAAGAAAATGAAGATGGAGAAAAATGAAGCCAAAGAACCAATGAGCAGCTTGGCCATGTTTCGGGCTTCCTGTTCTGCACGTGCCACGCCCAAGAATTCGGCACTGGCCACGAAACTGTTCCCCTCAGAGAGCAAGGCTTCGAAGCCACGGCATTCCGGGTCGTCCTGAAGAAACAAAGCCCCAAAGCCCAGCCAACGTCGTCCAAAGCTGAGGAAAACAAGTCCCGAAAAAGAAAAGTTGGGAAGGTGGATTAAATCACTCTTGTGATATTTCAGACATTTTAAATTTGAATGCTCATTTTGACATATTTTGACATGTTCAACGAGTTCAATTTCAACTAGCCTCAGCAAAGTAAACCTGGAAGGGTCCGCTGGCAGCCTCTCTCGATCCTCGCGCCGGGCTGCGGGCGTCCGACAGCTCATCCACTTGCGGCAGTCGTGCTAAGCGCGTGCAGATCCGCAGGTTGGCAGTCAGGAAGTCCTGCAAAACGCAGCTGAAAACCGTGCAAATTTGGAGAATCAGATAGAATCAGATTGATTATTGATTCAATGTCGATACTGAATCATACTATACTTTTTGACGAGACAGTCACAATTGGCATTCAACAACACAACTTATACAGATCATACTCATAGACTCATAGCTGTGCCCAAGATGCTGTAATATCTGTAATATGCATCGACACGGAGCACGGCCTGGAGGCAAGCAGGTAGTCGCACCTGGCCCTCCTGTGCAAAGCGCAGTGAGGCCAGAGCACCTTTGCCCAGCCACTCATCTGCAGCCTTTCGGAGTCCGAACATGGACGTGCAGCCGCGAATGTCAAAACTTCAACAGTTTTTAAATGAAATGTTTTGAATATTAATGTCTTTACACCTCTTGCGTTGCACTTCAGATATGACAATCTGAATCAACAAGAGCAAGAAGAGTGTACACGAGTCATAGAGATCTGTGAAACAACTTTAAACCAAGCGAAAATATGCTAAGAGATATGCAAAGATATCTACCGTTGGGACCTCTGATACTTCCTGCGTCAGATCGTGAAGGAGCTGCTCCTGGCACACGGAGATCTCAGAATCGCGGGACCGAGTGGCTGAATTCTTGCATGTAAAAACATGTAAAAAAACATCAGTGACTCATAGTGACTCCCTGGCTGCTCAAACTTCTTCAATCTCCTTATTCTTCTTGAAACTGCCCAACATATCCAACATATCCAACATACAACTCAAATACACGACAGCTCGCCACATGCCTTCGATATGCATCCAGGATGGACACCACCCATGGCCAAGGCAATATCAAAGTGCGAGCTGAAGTACTGAAAATCTTGAGGCCCTAGCTGCTTCTGAAACCAGTGCACTACTATGCACTAACCATTGCACTACTATCAGATTTAGCTTCGGGCATTATCTTACAATTCTTGAGGAAAATCAAAACGGAAAGTACCAAGGGTTTCCTGTTGAGTCTGAAGTCTAGTTGCTGAGTTGGGGAGTGGGGCTGTGCAAGAATTTTTGTTGCTTGTCACTTTGCCAATCTTGCAATCTCAGCTGGAACAGACAGAGTCAGATGCGGTCGAACACGCAGCCTCCATCACCCACCTCTGCTGCCTCTAAGCACTTCTCAGTTTTCAAAGCCCTGAGCCCTATAGTTACAATATATATTATGTGATACATGTATATATTTATATATGCATGTATATATCCATATGTATACATATATTATACACACACCACATTCACATCATACACCACATGCACATCGCATGCACATTCCACTGGAAACGGAAGCAAGATTTCTCTGCAAAAACAAGTTGGAAATGGTCAGGCGTGAGGATCGGTGACCGATTACTTTCACCAATGGGTTGCCCTCGTTTCAATGGTTCACTGCGGTGAATTCTCATTGGACATTGGATGCGAAACCTTCGTGGTCCCAGTGTGAATTCTCTCGTCGTAAATCAACACTCACTGAAAATCTTCCCCAGAGATTCACAGTGTTCACAGTGACTGGTGAGATTCACAGCTCGGAGCCTCTCTGTCCTCCCGTGTCCCGTGTCCCGTGTCCCGTGTCTCCTGAAAGTCAAGGACGTTCACTCCCAGCAACAGTGATCCCAAGAGTTCCTGAAGGATCATCACTGCCGTTGCAGCCTCGGACGTGAGCTCGACTTGAAGATTTGCCGTGTAAGCACACTTCATTCGATGTGTAAGGGGCCGTAAGGGGTGTCAAAAAACTTGACAGCGCCACCAGCAGTTGCAACACTTGCACACAATCTAGCAACTTGATACCATCACTCATCGTTGAACCCTTGAAGCATAAAGGACGTTTCTTACTTGCTTGTCACTTTGTCTGTGAAATATGATTTGCATGTGTCTCGATTGCACCACAACATTGCACGGCCTGAGCCTCAGGGTCCTCTTCCTGCACAGCACAACATCATACAACATCTGCCACATCCAACTGCGTTCAACTGCGTTTTCACCCACAATTCACGCTCAAACACCACCCGACTTGACAACTCAGTCCTCCGATAGCCCTTTGGCCTTGGCAAAAAGAGACTCAATTGACTCGACTATATTAAAATATCATGCGACAGGAACAAGACAAAAACAAGGGAGTCAACAACCGGATGGAAAGCATCGCAAAAGTCACAAAATACCGCAAATGATCGCGAAATCAAAAAAAACATGTTCAAAAACTTGAGATGTCCTGATGTCTTCTTGATGTATTGATCAGAATTGACTTGGGATTCAGCCAGCTCGTACGGCAGGAAAATGCGATGCGCCAACAACTGAGCCGAGCGTGCATCGGCACCCACCTGCCCAGGCCGCGCCCGCCGACATCGTCACTGTATAAACGTCCAGAAAGAAGAAAATATAAAGATAGATGTTGAATATGACAATAATATCATGAGAATATCATAAGAATATGATAAGAATAGATCGCAATAGATCATCATATTGAATCATACTCATAGCACATCATAGCACTAAGGTTTACAAGAGATCCTGGGCACACCTCCACGATAATGTGATCCTGGCCCTGCAATACCCTGAACTCGTCAAGGGAGATGCCAGAAGCCTCGGTGACATCGTTTCGTTGTCACTGTCACCATGAACCCACAAGCATTGCATGGTAAGCATTGCATGGTATTTGCACTTGACCATGATTCAAATTGCAAAGAGAAGACTGAACAAGTCAAAACAAAAGTCTGTCTCGTGAAAAAAAAACTCCGCCATACAGCTGCACCTTCACATGGGCAGATAACTGGAAGAGAAGTGCCTTCAGAAAGGGAAAAGCGGCAGCACTCGTTCTTTGCTTTACCAATCAAGTGGTCGAATATGTGTGAACTAATATATGCAATCTGAAAAACCTGGAAGACTACCAGCCTGTGTACTGCCGTTCTCAAGTAACAACACACATTTAGGCTGTGTATAAACTATAAACTGCGAGCCCGCCCTGCCGTGATTTTGTTGGTATTCAATAGATATCCAGTGGCCAATGCTTATCCAATGGTTCCATCGTTCTTTCCAAGAGCACATGTCAACAACACTACAAGTGTCAAAGCAGTGTCAAGGCAGTGTCTATTCTTGTCAGTCCTCAAATGGATCTGGCGGAAGTTGCAGCCTCAGTGAAGAATGAGACACTTTTTGAGCCCTCCGAATGCGAAACTGTGACCAACTCAAGAAAACCGCAATTTATTTGAGTTCCAAAAACACTTCAGAATGCTTCCACAAAAAATACTTCAATTTGGCCCTCAACCTGCAACATCAGTAACATCAGCTTTTGGGATCCAAACAAGACGCGATTCACACATCGTTGGGCAACCTGAAGCAACGACATATGGCTTGGTATTTCCAACGCATCTGCCCATCGGGCCCATCCACTTTGTAAGGAGAACGTGTCAAGTTGAAGTGTTCAATTCCTACTGTGCGGGTCACTATATGACCCTCCATGGCCTTCTCCAGTTTTGCACGATGCAGTTTCAAATATTCGACCTATTGGCATGAGGGAGCAGCATGGTTGAGCCTAAAAAACACATTTTGTTTGTTTTGTTCAATTCCAATTTTTGCATTCACAAGTGTTCATACAAAGTCAACACGACGCAATCATAAATTCATGTGAAGCAAGAGTGCAAATGCGCAAGAATGCATCCCTGCATCCCTGCATCCTTGCCTGTTCTCGCCTCCTTTGCCGGAGCGCCAATCTTTTTTGTTCGTCTTGCAGGTCAGCATGTCCTAGAGACAAGGTTTTTTCGTTTGACACGGCGAAGTTGCAGTGTAATATGAAAAACAAACACAAAAAATCATCTGTGGCATTTCGTTGGATGCATCCGAGCAATGCCATCGTGATGCCATCGTGATGCACCGTCATGATGATTGCACAAGCTAAACGTGCAAAAATGATTATCCGGCCTTCTTCATCTACGTCAGCATCAGCGGCCATGACACCGACTCTAAATACGTCAAGGAAATTCAATGAATGATTCTTAGAACCACTGGGAAATATGCAACACTTTCTGGTATGGTAGCTGGATGTAGCTGGTAATTCAATGTTGGACAACTAATGTTCCCATCACATGGCGGCTGTTTCCTGCCATAGTCAACCTGGTTCAACCTGATGCTCCCCGGGCGGTCGTAAAGTTGAAACGGCGGGGGAACGTCACACTTTGATAGTTTCCATATGTTTCCGTATGCTTCCATGTGCTTCCATATGTTTCCATATGTTTCCACATGTTTCCATATGTTTCCATATGTTTCTACATGTTTCCATATGTTTCCATATGTTTCCATGATAATGTTATGGATTCCAGTGTTTGAAGACAAATTTTCTGAAAAACGTTGACAATATCCAGGAACAACCATTGGCAGCTTATATCCAGCAGGAAAAAATTGTTTTTGGGCAAATACACAAAATGCCAAAGGCACAGAGAAACAACACCTTTAAACATTTTTCAACCACATGTGTATCGTCTCACCAGAGGCATCCTTTCAGCGCGCATTAGCTGTGACGATTTCAATTGTCTCCAGTCTGGGGAGCAGTTCAGAAGCCTGTTACGAAGAAATTGACTGGGCAGTCACAGGTTTCCTCTATTATCCCCACTGACACCGCTGGCAAGAAATGGCAGTGCAGAGGCAATCACTTCTGAACATCAATGCAAAGAGTGCTGCAACACTTGTTGAACTCAAAGTGAATGATTGCAAGCAAGGACACGCAATAATCTGTTTTGACCGATGGGCTCAACACGAGGCCTTTGGTTCAGGCCGTGGGTCTGGCATAGTTCGACTGTGAAGGATGGATGTGATTGTACGGATGGAGCGAATGCAACTGCCAATTGGGTGGTTCGAGGGCGGGGCAAGTTGCAAAGCTCCAAGAAAAGGAACATGAATTGAAACTGACATTGACAGAGTAAACATTGATTCCATTGAAACATGACACATTGAACTGTTCCAGTCTGACGACACCTGAAATTCACCTTGATCCAAGCCAGCTGTTTTGCATCCAAAACTGTCATTTGTGGATAAGTCACTTTCATGTCTGACCGTTTGATTATCCCCACTGACACCGCTGGCAAGAAATGGCAGTGCAGAGGCAATCACTTCTGAACATCAATGCAAAGAGTGCTGCAACACTTGTTGAACTCAAAGTGAATGATTGCAAGCAAGGACACGCAATAATCTGTTTTGACCGATGGGCTCAACACGAGGCCTTTGGTTCCCCCCACTGTTTCGAGAGTGCCAAGTGTTGCGCCCAACAGTCATCAACATCGATTATCTCACAAGCTGCTCCAAGTTGTTTCACACGCAATACATCAAGCCTCGAGGGACCATCCGAGAGATTAGAATCAGTCGGTACTCGTGCGTACCAAGGGCACATCTGGTTACAATATTCCAATGCCAATGTGGCGACAAGGATACCACGGGCAACTCTGTTTGAGGTGTTGCAGGAAATTAAAGCATCTCTCACTGCGTTGTTGTCTGTATAGATTACTGGGGAACCACCAATCATGTTCCCCCACAGCAGCAGTGAGCAAAATAAGGCGAAAAATTCACACTCAAAAATTGCTGTTTTGCGGTCACCAGGGTTCAAGTTTTTCACCATAGCTTCACTCAGTTTTGCTGAAAAATACTTCAAGGGCTTGCCACATGGTGCGAAAACAACAGCACCTATACCTGCAAAGACAGCTCCGTCAACATGATCGAAGCACGCATCAGTCTGTATAAACAAAACGTCACTTGTCGCAGGCTTCAACTCGCGTGGTCGACCATCCAAAAGAATCTGCATCTGCAAGGTCAAGGCCAAGGTGGTTCTATCGTCAATTTCATGGGTCCTGCTGTGATATGCGTGAGCTGTCACTGTTGAGAGGCAGGACTTGGCAATGCGTCCGAAAACATTACCTGATGCAAACTGCAGCCTCCCTCTCAGTTTGAGTGCTTCTGTCTTCTGCAGCTGTTTGGTTTTCAAGACCCCTTCCAGAAAAGTGATCAACTCACGCCGCCTGCTTTCAGTGTTACCCACCGTGACCAAGTTACCATGCAACTCTGAAACATTTACCGTCACTCCAAGAGCGTGGAAAACCTCTGAAAAATCTGGTGCTTTATCCCCTTGCTCTGCAAACGACCAACCCAGCAGTCGAAAAAACATCTGCACGCAGCTCTGAATGTGCGAGGACTCGACTTCAGGGGATATTGAGACAAAGTCGTCGAAGTAATTAGTTGTAAGCACCAAGAACTCCCTGACAAGGATGAACCATAAGCTGTGACTGATCCTCAAAAATGTGTGCACTGACTTCACAGCTCCAAACGGTAACGCAAGCATACGAAAAGCAAAAATTTCAGATGTCCCCGGCTTTTGAACCACTATGTGCGAGAACTTCCTGGATCCTGGGCTTATAGCACATTGGCGATATGCGCCAACAAGGTCAAATGTGCGCCCCACCCAGCGTCCATTGTAAGGGGCTTCGGTCATCACCTCAATGCACATGCCGGCAAAGACATCCAGCGTGTGTGGTTTCGGACTTTCGCATGACTGCACTGCACAGTTAACAGATGACCGTGAGAAGTCGTCGATACATCGAACTTTTGGCCCTTGTTGGAGCCCAAATCTCCTGCTGAGCGGAGTATCTTCAGGGATATCTTCTAGTGGAATCGGGCCAACCAACGCACCGGATGTAACCTCTTCCAAGGTCTTCGTCCAAACCTGCTCTGTCAGGTCGCTGTCACAACAACCTTTGAACTGTTCATGGATGGCCCCTCGCTCCATGGTGGCAATGTTACAAAGTTCTTCAACTCCTATGACTGCCGGTTGGAATTTTGCAGGCCAGATACCTGTTTTCTCAACCGCGCCTACTAATTCAGTCCCTTTCTTGAATTCTTCCACCACACCAAGATCCTCATAGCCGACAGCACGAAGCATTGCTTCCCAGAGCAGTATATTCTTCCTTCCAACAACTTTGACCACATCGGCGTCCATGTCTGCCTTGAGCTTTTCCTCGTCCGCTTTGAGAGAAACCATCTGTTTGAGCCAGAAACCCAGTCTTGCTGCTCTATGAGCCACCCTTTGCTGTACGTCCATGGTCTTGTATTTGTGGACGACTTCACTGAGAACTTTTGGGATTCCAGACTGCAGCTTTGAGGGATGTCCAAAAGCAACCATTTGTTGTATGAACTGCTCCTCCGTCCATGGTATACCCCAAAGCTGTGTCTGACAACTGCCAAGCTTCGAAGGTTCAGGTGTCTGGCATTTTTCAGTTATCAAATCAATCTCATGCTTCTCCAAGTGCTGGCCGGAAACAAAGACCCCCCGTTGAAGACACGTTTCAGGCAGCAGTGGTGGTGACACTTGTAAAAGCTTGGAACCTTTGGGTAGCTCCGTAGGTGCATTAAAAGAAGGGACTTTTAAAGAGGCAGACAACTTTTGCTGGATGTCATACTGTGGCAAGTCGTCTTGAAATCCAGTGAGCGCCACTTTCGAAGCAAAAGTTGGGATTAAAGGCGGCAACTTTGAAGCCTTTGGTTGTTCCAGCCCAGCCTTTGCACGCAAGGCTGGCAGTGTTGCAAGGTCCACTTCAGTGACCTCTTCCAGCGTTTCTGGGGGCATTTTTATGCCCCTACGTTGTAACGCAAGCACAAAAGCTGCTGCTATAGTCCGCGCCAATGTCATCGGATATGCAGCCTCTGACGCTGTGGCAAATTGTCGGTCCGGACCCGACAGGCCCCACTTCTCATGTTGGTGCTTTCCAGTGACACCTGTGCACATCTTGTTTATGGTGGCAAATTCTTCAGTGTTAAACGCAAGCATTGTACGCTTTGGTCTGGTGCCTCCATATCTGCATGACTGAAAAATTGTAAATTTTAGCAAATGCATCACCTCCTGCATAAATGTCGTTTGCCACAAAAAGCTGAATTGTGGGTTTTCTATACAAATCAAACATCCTTCATCCACAGCCCATCGCACCAAACGTGCTGTCAAATGATACAACCTGTTGGCCTTGGAGATCTTGACGCGATCAAGAAAGGAAATGCCAGGAATCCCGTTTGGGAATGCATTAGATCGCAACGGCTTTGGTGCCGGTGGATCACCAGGGCGCTTACGCTTCATGGGTATGGCCCTTGCCCTGCTTGCTGATCCGCAGGGGGGAGCCAGGAAAATCCCTATGACATTAGGGTTTGAAAGCCACTGCATCAACAACTCGACACCAGCTTTCGTACAAAGGTCTGCAATGACGACCTGAGCCATCGACTGTTTATGTCTAACGTGGTCTGTACCAAATGCACTAGCCATGCCAAACTGCTTCAAACAGGCTGTGACCCTGGCCGTCCCTGCAAAGATCTCTATGATGAGACAATCCTGCAAGGCCGCACCGGCGTCAGTCATAACACCGATGCGGTTCCGCCGTCACTTCTTCTTTGAGTCATGTTCTTTCTCTGGGTGCGGTGCGAAGCAATTCTTTCTACAACATAGGTGCCAGCCCCTTCCGCACTCACCGCCGTCTGGAGCATCTGCACACTTACCTGTCTGGTAGTTGAAGCACAAACGACGCCCATGTGTGTCCATGTTTGTGTTGTCTCGTCCAAGGAGAAACTTGGGCAAAATGCCCTTGCCGCCTTTAGCTTTTCCTTTGGACCCTGCTTGGTGACCTTTGCCCTTGTAAGGCTGTGCACGGTTGTGTTGCCAGCTTCCACCTTTTCCAAAGTGCTGGCTGCCGCCCTGACTGGGGCTGTCGGGGCGTGAG